TGTGTAGTCTTTTCTTCAAGAACATGTCAAGAAGGATCGGCCAAAGACGTTCGATTTGTCACAAAGACTCAAAAGTGCCAGCGAACTATGCCGATCATTCTAATGCTTGGGAAACCCAGGCCATTTTGTCCACTTTGGAAGTTGTGTCAAAGTCAGAAGATGTCATGCTCAAAGAGGTCTTCTCCACAAGTCCTGAGCCAAATTCAATGTCCTTTACATGCGGGCTTGAGCACAGAACCTAATCAGAAGCTCAACACCTGAGAAGCACGAGATGTGTGATCTGGAGAACTCCAATCACAGGCCATGGTCAAAACTTGGCCAATCGCAGTAAAGCCAGCTGCCCAACACTCCTGACCTTGAGATTTGCACCATCTAGCATCTCGGTCCGGTCCCAGCGCGTGCCCTTTCAAAATGGCTTGGTTTCTGGCAGCTGCCGCTGCCGCAGATCAATGCATATAGAAAAGGCGGAAAAGTGGAGGAGCGCCTGAGTGCATCAGTATTGTTGTGTTTTTTGCGGCTTCGCTTGTGAATGTATGTGCAGGGTGGAAAAGAAACAGCGTATGTGCAGGGTTCATGTCTACTGCTTACATATGTATATCTGTATATATGTTTAACGCCTCGGAGATAAACACGAGACCGTCGCCCGTTTTGAATCGATGCTAGCCCATCTCGGCGCACAGCTTATGAGCGGGCCTCCTGGCGGCACTGCTGGACTACCCGGCTACGGAGGCAGTGCGGGTGAGCATGGGGGAGATCTTGCAGTTGGCCTACCTGCAGATCCTTGAGGTCATCCATCTCGATCGCGTTCGAGCTGAGTGGGGGCTTGGTGGATCAGTCACTCCTGGACCTATGGGAGGGGCTCCTGGTGGACCGGGAGCGGTGGCGGGAGCGGAGGCTCCTGGGATTGCGGCAGGCGCCGCATCAGTGTCAGCAAAAAGTTGAAAAAAGAGGAAGAAAAAAGAGCCCTCCTGCAGCGGGGAGGGAGTTGAGGAAGATCCGGAAACTTGGGTACTGAGGCCCAAGACCAAGCCGCGGCCGGACCGAAAGAGCCGCAGCTGTTCAAAGGGACGAGACAAGAAGCGGAAGAGAAGGACACCTACTCCTAGCCCGGAGCTAGAGACAGAAGAAGAGGTTGAGGATAGTTTTGAGGAAGATAGTGCCGGTCGGGAGCGGAGGAGGTTCCTGGTGCTGACGAAGAGGCTGCAGGAGGATCCTGTGCGGATTCGTGAGGCAAAGAAAACTCCGGCCCCTTGATTCCCTCCACCTTGATATCTACGCCCGCAAAAACCTCTGGAAGCCCACGAACAAAGGTGCAAAGCATCGTAGGACAACGACGACTACTGGCCGCCACGTCCCGCCGTGTGAGGCGGTAGCTGCTCACGCTCCATGCAGGCGATGATCCTCCAGGCGCTGGAGGATGGATGGCAGCCAAGGACCCAGGCATGAAGTGGCCAGAAATCTCATAGAGGTCAAACAACGACCGCATTGTGAAGGCCGCAAACGGGAGTTGGTGTTGCGTCTATGCCTCAATCCTTGTCCAGTCAGGGCATTCCAGAAAACCTTGTGCGCGCCACCAGCTTGAGGACGGTGAAGCTGGAGGACATTCCGTGGGGCAAGTGCATGATGGACCACAAGGCCGAGGAGGTCAGGTCTCCCCCCAAGCCCAAGCTCCTCGGGAAGAGTGCGAGAAGCTTGGTTTGCCGCGTCGCCCCAAGACAGCCGCCGAGAGAGTCTTGACAGGGGAGGGCGGAACCAGGACGGCCATTCTTTTGAGGCTGGCCAGAGCTCCGGAAAATCTTAGGGGTCAGGACTCAGGACCCCAACCCCCACCTTCACGCCCCGCTGTTTCATCCTTAAACTAGCGTGGCAGTTCTCGCGTACAGTGCAAGAGATTTACTTGGACCCGGTCTGAGCGCTTCAAGAACCTCTACCAGATTGCCCACATCTTTGAGAACCAGTTTTGTTTTGAGGAGCTCAAGAAGCACCTATTTCTTAACGCCCAAGACTGCACTCCCTTGTCTGCTTAGGAGTGGGGTGGAGCAAGAGTGCTGCAGCAAGAGTCGCAGAGGGCTTGTTGTGCAGGTATCTGCCCCCTGTGGTGTGGCGCAACCCAGCTCACATTACCAATGGAGAACTGCGCCGTGAGCATGGGCCCGACGTAGATTCTCGTTTCAACGGTGTCTTTTGGCGACGGTTGTGGAGAAATCGCCGTGAATATCCTTAGATGAAAGGGTGCAGACCCCGATGCTCATGCTCTTAAAAGCTTGACCTGGGCACCAAACGGCTTTCGAGGCAGAGAAGAGAGTTTCCGATGTGCTTGGTGTGATGGAGATGAATGTAGAGATGGTGCGTGCCATAACGAAGAAGAACAACGATACGTTTGCTCCTGCTACAGCCTGGAGTATCTGGAGCCAATGCGAATGACAGCGAAAAGGACTTCAACAAGGCTATGGATGGACTTGCTACATCATGGCGTTCTTGCTGTACACGATCGTGGTGTTTGGCATAGGTGTTTCTCTGGCTACTCACGATGGGTGACAGTTGGTTACTATCAAATTACAGAAGAGTGACCTTCCTCAGGACCCATGGGACAGATGAGTTCCAACGACATCGAGATTGTGATGAACCTCACTGGGTTAGAGTTGAGAGAGTGGGGAGTGATGGCGTCTGTAGATGCCACTGGTGGAGAATGGATCAGAGCGCCAGGGCTGCCTGAGCCATTACAACTCATTCCATGGCCAAGAGCTACAAGAAGAGGCAGAGGGGAACAACGCGAGGAGCCACAAGGTGAACCTTCTGGAGAACGTGGTGAGCACAGTTTCGAAGTGGAGCTGCAAGCAGCATTGACACTTTCAGTCCAACAAGCCCAATTGCATTCATCAAGTTGCTGATGTCTTTGAGTGTGACATTGGATTTGATGATCTCGGTCATGGACATCTCCGATGCCTTTTTGCAGGTAGTGCAGAAGGAGTTCGTGGTGATTGAAGTGCCCTCATGGATTCGTGAGATCCTTGGACGAGAGGATTTGGTCTACTGGAAGCTCTTGCGATGTCTTCCAGGTCAGCGAAACGCTGCGCTTGAATGGCGCAAACATTTCAGCTCATTATGTGCCAAGTTCCTCTTCTATCCCTACAAAGGAGGAACGATTTACAGACATGAAAAAGGACGACAGTTTCTTTCAGTGCGCGTGGATGATATCATCCTTGTAGCGGAGGAGCAGGACCACTACAAGTTCCTTGAGCACTTCTCCAAGATCCTCAAGATGAAGGCTGATGGTCCATATGGCACGTCATTGCCAGGGACGCTGTTCTATCTCAAGAGGAAGTTGACCTTCGATGAGCGAGGACTGGAGATTGCCGCAAGCAGCAAATATGTGCCCAAGCTGCTAAGCGTGCTAAAGTTGCAAGACAGGCGGGGACGTGGTGCGCCGTCCCACTCCAGTTTGGATGTGTTCGATGCAACAGTTGCGCGAGAGGACGAACGCCTAAATTCAGAAGAAAGCAAACTGTTCAGGAGTGCACTTGGATTGTGTTTGTATTTGAGTCAAGAGCGCATCGACATCCAGCACAGTGTGAGGATTCTGTCGACCTACATGGCAAGTCCTACCAAGGCAGCTATGGCTGCAATCAACAAGCTCACAAAGTCCCTGCAAACAACTCAGGACATGGTGCTGAGATTCGAGAAGACAGAGGAGCAGGGCAGCGTGTTTTGCAGATGGAAGCACCTTTCAAGTGAGCAGGTGAGGAGAGGAGCCCATGCGCACTGCCTCGAACTTTTCAGTGACAGCGATTGGGCGTCGTCAAAGGCGTCAAAGAAATCAGCCCTTTCGAGCATGGAGGCAGAAGTGCTAGCGGCCACAAGCCTTCTAGCAGAAGGCATTGCTCTCAAACAAGCTCTCCAGTTTTTGCTTGGATGCAAAGAGGATACAGGAGACAACAGCAAAGTGGAGATGAAGATGTTCCTGGACTCTACATCGGCTCAGGCCTTTTTCCAACGCCTGGGACTAGGGAGAGCAAAGCATTTGTGTACCCGCATTTTGTGGGGACAAGAGGCCATGCGCCGTGGATGGTATAAGATTGGAAGAATCCCAACAAAGGAGAATCCTGCCGATCTCAACACAAAGGCATTGTCAAGAGAACGACGAGAGCATCTCGCGAGACTCATTGGTTTGCACAGTGACAGCTTTCAACCAACAAGCATTCCTGGAGTCCATCGCATTGTGCAGATGCTCACGGTGGCAGGTCTTTTGAAGGGATGTTCACCAGTGGAGGACAATTGTGATGGCATGAAGACCGCAGAAGTCCAAAGTACATGGTGCATTTGTTTGCTGAGCATTACGGTGCTATTTTTGCTGTTTGTGATGTCAGTGATGGTGTTTCGAATTCAGAAGATTAGAGTGGCATTGGCACGATACCGAACAGCATGGAAGGAGGTGAGAGCAGAGCTCAATCCTCCACGGAGAGATGATCCGTTGAGGCATGCAGACGAAGATGCTCACCATGAAGGAGAAGGAGAAGAAGAAGAAGGAAATGAAGACGATGACGAGTTTCCTGATGATAGAGGACCGAATGGTGAAGACTCCATAGATGATGATGGTTACATCTATGGAAGATCGCACAGTACAAGAACATCCACACCGAGGAGGAGAATCACCCAGAAGTCCAACGGTGATGCAGCAGCTGGCAGAGGAGCTAGCACAGGCAATGATGTAGAGGCTGAGGACAGACCGAGCAGAGTAGTGCAGACAGAGGAAGTTCATACCATGGAAGCGCCAGATGAGCAAGATGACAAGGAAGAAGAAAAGGAGGATGAAAAGGAAGATGAAAAGAAGAGAAAGAAAACAGAAGGTGATGATGAAGAAGAAGGAGAACATCAAGAAGCAAGTTCATCTTCTTCTTGCGTCTTATCGTCAAGAGGACCAGATGCTGATGCAACAGCAAATGAAGAAGCGAACATTTTCAGGCCAAGCATTTCAGACAGAGTGGCAACGAGTCTTTTGAATTTCGGCATAAACCCAGCAAACTATATATGCCGAGAAGAAGGCTCATCAATGAAGGCCATGGACCAGAGGTTTCACTCACTCTGGCACGTCGGAATTTGAATGAACGCATCAGAGGCCTTGAGTACCAAAGGGATCATGACTTGAGGAGTGATATTCGAGCTGCAAGATACACACTTCGCTATTTGGAGTATTTGCTCTTGTTGTGTGGCAGGCAAGATCCATTGGCCTACCACTCAGCGACCATTACATTCAACAAGTGGATTGAGAGCGGGTCAAGTCTGGATTTCTTCACGGACAATGAAACAAGTCCAGGAGGAGACAATGATACAGACAATGAGGAAGAAGAAGTAGAAGAGGAAGCAAATGATGAGACAGAAGAGCAAAGGATTGGAGTTGGAGGTCCAATAGAAGAAAGTGAAGATCCCGACGCATGGATCGAGTGGCACTACGATCCAATGGATGCTGAGAAAGAGGAAGAATACTTCCGTGAAGTAGGTGCAGAAGCAGATGATGAAGCTGATGGCACCGAAGGACATGACGACAAAGAGAATGTCGATCCAGAAGAATGAATTCAGAATGTTTGACAAGCTGGCGAAGAAAAACAATCAATGCTCGTGGCATGACGTGAAGCCGCGGAACTGAGAGAAGCCAGCAAAGTTTCACAAGACGGACTGAGTAGGGAACAGCTGAAAAAAGACGCTGCTCCCTAAGGCGGTGTCCAAACTTAGCATGACCCCTGCGTACAGGATGACACACACTTAAATGAGAAGTGTACCGACGTGATCAAGTGGCTCAAACATAGCCGGAAAATAGGTGCGTTTTCGTGAGAGTTTTCGTTTTTGACCGAGCTGCCGAAACGATCGATCTTGGCTCCAAAAGCCGGCCGGCGAGTATGTGGCCACGGAGCGCGAAGAGCGACCGGTTCGCGCACAGAGTCGGGTGCGATGGCAGGACTGCGGGGGCGGGTGCGAAAGAACGCGGAGTTTGGTTGACAACCAGTGGTTTGGATCGGAATATCCAGAGCTCCAGATGTTGAGGCTTGAGGGTGTTAATTCCAAATCCACTAAGTAGCTTCGCCACAGCGTTGGTGTCGGACATGCGAGACGGCTGTACACCAACCTGGCACCAGCAACATTTAGACAGGTTTTCTCATGTTTGTAAATTTCTTGTGTTCAACACTTTGGATTGTTTTCCATTCTCTTCATGTGACAACATCTCAGAACGGACACCGTTGCCACCACAAACGGGCAAAGATCATGAAGTAGCATGCAAATGTCAAGGAGTGGTGGACACGCGCAACCAACAAAATTAACCAAACCCAACCCATCGCACCCACCCAACCCATCTTGCCAACACCTGGTAAACAAGTTGAAACATTTTTGTGTTTTGAGGAGTTCAGCATACGCCGCTGAAAATCTTGGAGCTCAAGCCAGCCTGGTGCCCTGTTCGTCATCACTACACTGGGCACTGGTGGCAGCGGTGGCTGCAGCAGCGTCAGAGGCTGTGGTTCAAGCGTGGAAGTGATGTAAACGATATCCTATTTGCATGGTCTGGTGCTCAAAAAGAAGATTCGGCTCCCGGGATGGCCGAAGACTTGGACCCCAAATCCGGACAGCCCACTGAGGAGTCGTCGGAGGTGGAGATCCTACAGGGGAACTTGGAACGAATCTGCGCCTGGGACGCGTCACCGAGGTAGTGGGAAATGGGACCAAACAACGGTAGACGTGTCGTGGGCCGTGCGTAAAGTTTTTAGCTGGTTTGGGGGATGCAACAGTGAAGGTCCAAAGAGACGCGGAGACATCTTGCGGATGGGGGTCGCCTTCCAAGAAAAGATGTGATTCAATCCGATTCAATCCTACCAAGAAGTGCCAGAAGCGCCTCAACTGGCTTGTGTTTTGGTTATTCGGTGGAGCTGGCTGAGCTCAGCCGCGCTCCAATGATGACACTCCGTGTCCAATGTTGCGTGTTCCGTCAGGTGTCACGAAGGTCACATGGCGTCACTTCAGCCACTGCAACCACGAGAGGCATGCAGATTCCCATGGTTGCAGTTTCTTTCTTTGTTATCTTTCCAGAGGTGTTTTCATGCTGGGCTGGATCCATGGGCTGGATGTTGTTGGGGAACAACAAAGAGGTTTGAGGTTTGCTCTGGGAAGGTTGTCGCAATCACACATTCATGCTTTTCTACTTCAAAAACACTGGGAGTTTGCAAGGGTGGCGGCTTCCACTTGCACACACTTCACTTCCTTTGGTTTCACGCGCCCTGTTTTTAGGTCAAAGACTAAATGCCTGTGGCGCCAGCGTTGTGTCCATCATCGCGGTCATGGGCACGTGCCATTCCCGCGCCATTCGACGTGTAGTTGTGTTTTTTAGACATCCAAGGTCCAAAACCCACAAACGACTGCGAACGTGGGGCAAGTCGTGTCGAGCGCTTTCGCTTTCGAATACCGATGAACCGCCTGGACTGTTCGCCCACCTTCTTTGCCCACCTTCCCGATGAAACGCAGGTACCGGACGGGCAAGAGTTTCCTCTTAGACCTGCTCGCCCGTTACCTGAAGATGAAGGCCGCTGAAGCCGCGCAGGCGCACCGGGCACCGCGACGGCGGGCACCGCTTCCGTCCGTCCCACGGCGCAGCGGAAGCCGCGGAGCGGTGAGGCGGAAGCCGCGGAGCTGGCGCGACGAGAGGCTTTAGAGCTTGGGCTGCAGGTGGGGGCGGAGAATTCGTTGGCGAACTCGGCTTCTATACATTGGTGGTGGTTTAGGTTTGGGGACAGGACCAAAAAAGAACGTAGGAACTTCTGCGAGAAGTAGAGATATCTGAGGACTTCCTTTAAGATGTGGCTATGTTGCTTTTGCAAGTGCAGACTGAGACAGAAACACTTGCCTTTCGGGGGTCTCAACTTGTTCGACCTGTTGGTTGTTTCTGCAACTCATTTCTGTCGGAAATCAGTGAAGATATGGCACGATCGAAGTTCGCTTCTTCGATTTCTGGAGAATCAGGTTGTTCTTAGAAGACTGGCAGTGGCCCAGTTTCCACGACATTTGTTGGTGGGACTCCTTTACGGTTCACGTTCTTGCTGCACCAAAAGCCTGGGCCAGGCACCACCACCTGCACCGCCGAGACGTACTGGCGCTCAGATCCAACAGGGAGATCATCCACAGATCCAAGCTTTGCCACGCTTGTAGTCATGACCAAAAGGGAGACAAAACGCTTGATACCAACGATGCTTGTAGCCATGACCAGAAGGGTACAATTAAAATCAATTAAAGATATAGACAATCATTTTTTCGTTTTCGGTGTTCAAGACGTTAAGAAGCCTTCTGCTTTTAGACCGAGAAATCGTTTTGGTTTGCACCTGTACGGACCGCGAGTCCTGTCCCGTCACCGAGTCCTCCCGTCCACGAGTCCTCCCGGAGCTCGGACCCAAAAAGCGGACCGGAGACCCTCCGCTTTGCAAGAAAACAAAGTACGAACAAAAAGACAAAGACAACCAATGAACACCAGGACCCACAAGGAGTGGTTCATGGCCCCGAATCGCCTCTAAGGGGCTACAAATAGACACCCCTTAGGGGGCCCTGGCACTTATTTTGCATTTTTCTCCTTCATTTTGAACAAATCTAGTCTTCAAGTTCGGAGCGGCAAGTCCTCAAGCTTGTCCTCAAGCGGAGCTGTGTTCCAAACATCGTTTCATCGATCCGGTTCGTTCTTTTTGACCACCGCCATCGATATCGAAAGGTCCTAAAAGCGAAAGATCCAACATCGGAAGTGAAATCCTAAGTGCTAGATGGGTGGCAACACAGATGTAAAGATCCAGAGATCGGTTAATTCACCAAGGCATTCAGTTTTCTTTCGAAGATGCACGTTGACAATCCCTTAGACAACCTGGGCTGCGGACCTTAAAAAGCACCGATCACTGCCTTGATGGTCACGTGGCGACAGATGTTCTGGAGGCGACTGTGGGCGCCGTGGGTGGATGGGACACGTCGCCCAGTGAAGTTGAAGTTGAACATTTATCTCTTGCTGGGAAGGCTTCGAGCAGTGTGTATTGACGGAGCTGTTGTTGTTTTGACGACTCAGAATGTAGATTTCTGAAAAAAACAGCAGCGACAGAATGCAAAGATCACAAGGAGCGAGTGACTTCTGAGTGACCAGCTTGTAAGCTAGCTTTGCGGGGTGAAGCATCTGGCTGTCCCGGCGCGTGCTTTGTGGTGGCCAATAGGATGGGAAGATGCATGGGACCCCCCAAATCCAGGATCCATGTTGCACACTCAGGTGGGAGGAGCTTCTGGGCTAGGTTCTCTCATTGGACAATCGATTGAATCATTTCGTGGGCAGACAAAACAGTGTGGACTTCCGGGTTGCTACAACATAATAACATATGAAGCCGGGTCCACCATTTTCTGCCCAGAATGAATTGAAATTGACATGGACTATTGGTGGGCGGCTCACCTTAAACCTCACACCCCTTGACCATTGCAGCTTGTTGAACAAAGATGGCATTGGGAGTATGTGGCTGCAATTAGAGGAGCTAAGCGCCTCCACTTTTCGTTGACCTACAACTTTGATCGCACGCACATGGCTCGAAGCTTTGCTGTATGAGCAGTATTGCCATGGTTTTGATTTAGATTCTCCTTCCAGTACTGGGGCTGCCTGCTCCTCAGCTAGGGGCACAAACGGAGGGGACTTGCTTGGTGATTCAGTTGGTGAGTTCCACCAGGGTCGGACGGAATTCGCACGTTCCGGCGGGGCTTGGATTCTTCAACTTTTTCCGCAGGGCTTGATGCTTCTGTGTGATAGGGGACGACAACGATGCGAGTTCCAAGGCTTTGGCCGAAAGAAAGAACGACAACGATGCGAGTTCCAAGGCTTTAGCCGAAAGAAAGAACTTTTCCTTTTCGTGGGCGGCCTGGTGCCCCGAAACACTGCCGCAAATTCCCGAAGACGACTTGGTCGCAGAGCTCAGCGTTCTGAGGTCCACCAAGGGACACCTCTGTGCGGGAGCCGAGATTGGGGTGCTTCAAGCGGCGTATCAGGTCTTGGAGTATCAAAGTTCAAAACCAAGAGTTGATCCATGCCTCTTACTATTCCACAAATGCTGTTTGTCTCTATAGTTGTTTTGGTTTCTCTATCCACGACAGTCGTTTTATCCGACAAGTAGACTCGACCCAGATGTCCATCATCGGGAATTTCATGTCCACTCGATCGGGCAGATGTTTTGGCATGCGATGAGATTGAGATCTAGATCCTTCGCACGACATCGAATTCACAGGTTTCCTTTTGGGTTGGTCTTTCGCAGAAGTTCGGACTAAAGACGTGAGGTTGAGAACCAGATATGTCTCTTTGGGCCTGACATTCTTGATGGGTTTGGGTAAAGTGTCTGGCCGGGCCCCGTATCTTTAAAACGTAGACGGATCCCTGTTGACATTTCCTCTACAAAAAGGGAGAGCTTGAGGCTCTTACAGAGGGGCCATGTTGTAACGATGCAGTTTTTGGCACCTACGTAGAGAAATCACTTTGCTTTCTGCCCAGCAACTAGGTCGATCTAGCTTTTCAAACCCTCTCACAGGAAGTAGAACTCATCAAGGACTCTTAGTACTTTCAGGGCTGCAGGCTGTATGGGGAGGTGCCACAACACCAAATCAAAGCCACCAGGGCCGCATGGACCACCAAGACCACTTGGACCCACCAAGACCACCAGGACCACCTAGACCACCAAGACCGCCCAGACCGCCGGACCCAAGACCACCGGGACCACCAAGACTGCCAAGACCACCTAGACCACGGAGACCACCAAGACCACCAAGGCCACCGGGACCCCCAAGACCACCAAGAGCACCACCAACACCCCACATAATAGATAGTGTGTTTGAGCTCAGCCAGTACCAAACATATGCCGCCGCACATATGTATATAAGCTGACCGTATATTTATATCGTATATTCATTCCGTGTGTTTTAAAAGCAGGCGGGCTGGCAAAAACCTTGGCGGAGGTAGTCGGAAATACCTGTTCACTTGTTTAAAAATCGTATATGTACAAAGCGATACCGTAGTGGGACTTAGAGTTGGCTTTGGTGCTAACTTAATCGCTCAACCATCCAACATGACCAGCTTCCATGTTAGTTGCGACCAGGGTGTATTCAGAAACCAACACGTCTGGCAGCTTCCTTCGTGGCAGAGAATCCATCGAACGCCACTGAACCGACGGGGTTCATTGGTTCTCGAGGTGGGCATGCCCAAGACGCAACCACCCAATCTGGTGTTTGGATGGGCTTTTGATATTTCAGCCCTATTTGGGAATGACTAACGGCTTACCCTAGTTACGTGAAAGATTGGGACGCCGGGTCCTCAGCCCCAAAGCTCGTTGCGGTCGCGCGTTCGAGCCGCGGCGCTTGGGGAGCCGCGGCGCTTTGGCGGCTCGGAGCGGTCCCGTGGTGCTCAGGCCATGGGCAATGCTTCATGCAGTGGGCGAGCCCAGGAGTTTGGTGCATGGCTGGAGGGTTTTGCTGTTTTGGTGCAGTGCACCGGTGCACCAGCTAGACAAGATATGCGACATGGACCAGGTCATTATATTGATTTGCGCACGGGTTTTGGTGCATCTCGCACAAGGTTCTTTTAATTTATGAGGAATTCTTTGAGGAGCTCACTGGTGCTGACGACGTGAGCTGATAGTCGATGAGGGTATATATATATATAACATTTTTTTTAGATGAAACAAGTACCGGGAATCCCTAGGGCCAAGATTGGTCTCGTGGGACACGGATTCCCCTTCTGTTTCCTTCCGTTCCTTCGCGGTGCGAGGGCCCAAGTGGGCCCAACCCGGTTCAATGAGAGGAGCAGGAAGTACTCCAATGAACAAACCAGAGAAAAAGGAGTCGGTCTCACCAAGGTATTGATGGTTCCCCTTGGTGTCTGGGTGTTTTGTTCGTCACTCAGAGTCAGACCATCTCCCATCGGAGTTCCGTGACGACGCTCCGGATTTGGCCACACAAGGCGAATTGATCTACTTTGGGTCTGTCCTATAACCCTGTGACAGTCAGTAAACAAGCAAATCACGATATATGGCCTGGAACCTCACCATCATCATCCACTGTTACTGCCAATCGGATAAGGATAGACCCAATCTATATTTATATATCCTACTAGTCCAAAGATCCCGTAAAGCCTGGTCTTTTTTCTCCTTAAGTCATGTTTTTGTATGACCAGCTCCAGTATTTCATGAGGTCAAACTGACCTGTAGTATATATATATATATATAGATACAGACGACGGCAAACATGCGAGGCTACCGTCATAGGTTTTTCGATCCATCCATGCTTCACCGAAACATGCAGAGTTACCTGTGCGGCATGTCCTTCAGTTGCTTGGTATTAGGGGTGACATTGCATACGACCATGTTTGCTAAGGACGCTACTAGGTGGAGGCCATCGCAAGTAGGTTGGAGGCCATCGCTACTAATAACTACTATTTTCTTCATATGCCGTCCCTTGAACACGGGTTGCGGCACACGGTTTTTCAACACCACCTGTGAACGACGAGAAGTTTCCAGACGATTGTCAGTTGTTTCCAAAGATGGAGACCCTCCAAGTTCAGGTTGTAACCAGAAGCCACAGCAGAAAAGGAACCAAGAAGCTAAGTATACCAACAGTTTGTATGCTAGAAAAGAGGAGCAATGTGCCAGGACTAGCAAGATTGTCCCAAACAAGTAGGATTGTCGTGGAGAAGTATGTCGTTCACATCCCAAGAGCTTCAGAGGATCAACGAATTTGGGATCACATGGGATGTACGAATAGCCTCTCCTCCTCTTGCCAAATCGAGGCAATGCTCCTGTAGAACCCGGAAAGAAGGTGTGGGGGTCGATCGCTCAACGGCGCGTGGCGTTTTGGGTCCGGGCCACGTCCAGAGGGAACGCGTAAAACCGGACAGTACGTCGGGTGGGTGCGGTGTCGGGTCCGATCTTCCCTTAAACCCATTCTGGGTTCCTTAGTCCTTGGTTTCTTTTTGGCAGAGCTCAGAGTCGCGGGCGACTGGACCTGGTGCTTCAACAGTTTAGCCGTACTTCGTTCAAGAGTTCAAGAGGCCGCAATAAGTTTGGCTTCATTGGCCTCTGAAAGTGCCTTCAGAGC